ACTCTCATTGTTCACCCTCATTAAGAGGTTCTTTAATTCCTCCTCACTTTCTGCCATCAGAGTGGTATCATCTGCATATCTGAGGTTGTTGACAGTTCTTCTAGCAATCTTAATTCTGGCTTGGGATTCCTCCAGTCCAGCGTTTCACATGATATATTCTGCATATAAGTTAAAGAAGCAGGGGGAGAATATACAGCCTTGTCATACTCCTTCCCAATTTTGAACCAATCATTAGTTCCATATCCACTTCTAACTGTTGCTTCCTGTCCCACATATAGATTTCTCAGGAGATAGATAAGGTGGTCAGGCACTCCCATTTCTTTAAGAACTTGCCATAGTTTGCTGTGGTCCACACAGTCAAAGGCTTTTGCGTAGTCAAGCTTGGCATAAGGAGGTGAAAAGAGCATTATTGGTGCGAGTAATTTACTGTAAGAATGTGAATGGCACAACCTGAATAGTTTCCCAATTGCTGTGAAGTTTTCTGTCCAATATATATATTTCTCATTAGATAGATAAGGTGGTCATGCACTCCCATTTCCATAAGGACTTGTCATTGTTTGCTGTGGCCAACACAGTCAAAGGCTTGTAGTCACGCCTGTAACAGACTTCAAAGGAACAGATTTCTTCTGTATTAGACCTAAAGCCTGCTTGCTCCCATCATACATTCCCTTGGTGTCTGCTGCTATCTGTATCTGAGAGCAGAGCTAAAGCCAATAATCGTTAGAACATCTCCTGGCAGCCTGTTGGATTTTGCTACGAGCAACTCAAAGAGCCTGCAAGTTTTACTCAGTAGGACAGGTTTGCATGCTGCCAGCACTCTCCTCTTTTCCTCAATGGCTGGCATCAACTGCTCTGAATGAGCTTTCAACCAGTCTGCCGTCTTTTTGGTCTTCTTGCCAAATGTGGACAAAGCAGTGTTAAAAAATAGCATTCTTGAAATGTTCCCAGCATTCAGATGCATTTGCATCAGCCAGGCCTGGAAGGGTTTCCTCAAGCACTTGGGCAAATTCCTTCACTTTTCTTTGATTCTGAGTCTTGCTGATATCGATACTTGGTCTTCCTTCTTTTTTGTGTGATACAATCTTTGTTCACAGTTTTATTCTACTACACATGAGGGAGTGATCAGTATCACAATCAGCACTCCGGTAACTGCGTGTGATCGTAATACTAGGAAGGCTAGAATGTCTAGTAAAGATCAAATCGAGCTGATGCTAGTGCTTCAATCTTGGATATCTCCAGGAAACTCTGTGTTGAAGCTTTGTATTAAAGGACGTGTTGCTGACACAAACACCATAATAACAGCAAAACTCAAGCAAGCGTTAGCCATTTTCGTTTATCTTCCCAATGCCAAAACGGCCTAGAGAAGTGGGTCAAGAATTATGATCAGCAGCAACTCTAGTGTTAAAGTCTCCAAGAATGAACAGCAGCGCTCTCTCAGGGAATTTTTGATAGTAGCTGCCAGATTGTCGTAGAATTTGTCTTTGACTTCTGTTGTAGACAACAGTGTTGGTGCATATGCTCTAATAAGGATGACCGGTTCTGCTGATTAGTGGAGCTGCAGAGACATATCTCTTTCATTCCCCACTGTAGGTGAAACAATGGATCTCAGCAGAGCATTTCTGACTGCAAAGCCAACACCATATTCCCTGGTCTCATTCAATGATTTTCCCTGCCAGAAGAATAAGAAGTTTTTTCTTTGATAGATCCCATGTCTGGCAATCTCGTCTCATGCAGGGCAACAATGTCCATCTGCAGTCTACTCAGTTCCATGTCGATGACAGCTGTATTGCGGATGTCATCTATTTCCTGCAGCTTGTCAGAAAAGCCAGGGGTCATTGTCTGAACATTCCAGGCGCCCAACTTTAGAGCAGAAGTTTTCTTATGATTGTTGCATGGTGTAGGGTCATCGATCTGCTTGTCAGCTTTCACCCTAAACCCCACACACCCCATGAGGTTAACAAACCGTGGCGAGGTAGCACCATACTGGCTGGGGACTGACCAGCTTAAAGTGGGTGGTAGCTACCCAGTGAGGTGCAATAACCTCTCCCACCATCAGAAGTAGCCCCTAGTGTCATGCTCTATGCCAATTGAGCAAAGACATATAACCGGTAACTGCTACTTCCCGTGTTATTTTAATGCTATATGTGAAGCTGGAGTGTCTTCTCCAGAGCACAAAGCCTGGGTAAAATAATATGGAGGATAAGCTGTTGCCCAAGCAGCAAATCCCCCCTCTCCACGTCACTGAAATAGTCCAATGGAAAGGCAAGAGCCAATACAACTGGTACCAGTGATGTCGCAAGAGTTGCCAGAACGACACGAATTGCCTCGGGGACTCTGGCTCTGCATTTTGCCTCGAAGTTAACTCCTAAAGCCTTTTCCATCAGTGGATATAGCCACAAGGCAGTGGAGGTTTGAAATCGGAGTTTTCCTTCTCCTAGATGGGCTGCCTTCCAAGGCTGACAAGCCCGAACTACCCGGGCTGCTCCCTTCTGCCTCTGTTTCCTCTGCAGGAAAAGGGGAACAAATGTCTAACCCCACAATTAAATGCTGGTTTGTGACTTTTTCTCAAATGCTCTCTAACCAGGGCTTGAGTGTTGAGGCCATTAGTTTAAGTAATTCTAACAGCAAAAATACTTTCAGACAAAGAGTGTTTGACATCAGAGCTCAAACAGATATCGCGGCCTTATCTTCAGTGCAATCTATGAAATGGCTAGCGAGGCCTAAAACCATTTTCATGTATTTATTATTTATTTATTTATTTATTTTATTTGTACCCCACCCATTTGGTCCTACGACCACTCTAGGCGGCTTCCAATACGACATAACAGCAAATAAAAAACAACAAAACAAGAATTATTACATAAAATATCTTCCAACAATTACAAGACAGAAGATAGAGTAAAAAAATAAATAAGGAAAAATAAGGAAAGAAAAAAGATCAAGTATTGACTGGAGGGAAGGCCTGAATAAACATCCATGTTTTTAATTGGTTTTTAAAGATACCCAGAGTAGGGGCCGTACGAATCTCCAGAGGGAGATTGTTCCAGAGGCAAGGAGCTACCGCCGAGAAGGCCCGACTTCATGTTTTTTTCCTTCCGGGCCTCTCTCAGTGTCAAGTTCCTCAGCCTCACCTCCTGACTCACTTGGGTGATCCAGGTAGACCTTGGTGGGAGTAAGCGTTCCGCCAAATGTCGAGGTCCTAAACCATTTAGGGTAGAAAAATACATGCTCTTTCCAATGAAAAAAGATCTTCGTATGGCATTTACCCATCTCCATGTTGAGCTAATGGAGACAAGGATGTCACAAGGCCGATATCAGGGCATTCCCATACAGCATAGACCGTGTATTTCTGGGACAGCAAAAGTTGAAGATCTGGCACATTATCTATTACATTGTAAACTATATGCTAATATCAGAAAATTTTACTTTACACCCTGTTTGGAGCGTTGGGGGATGAGAGTAATTTGACTTATTTACTGCAAGGGGATAACCCCCATTTAACTCGTAAAGTGTCAGTTTTTGCTGTAAAAGCACCAATCCTGAGGAAACAAGATCTTGGTAAAGGGTCTGTTTAGTTGAGATATGCCACTAAAGAGGTTCACTACTTAGGTATAACCACTAACAGGTTACCTGGAGTGATCTACTTCTGCTTCATTGACTATGCGAAAGCCTTTGACTGTGTGGACCACAGCAAACTATGGCAAGTTCTTAAAGAAATGGGAGTGCCTGACCACTTTATCTGTCTCCTGAGAAACCTATATGTGGGACAGGAAGCAACAGTTAGAACTGGATATGGAACAACTGATTGGTTCAAAATTGGGAAAGGAGTACGGCAAGGCTGTATATTGTCCCCCAGCTTATTTAACTTATATGCAGAATACATCATGCGGAAGGCTGGACTGGAAGAAACCCAAGCCGGAATTAAGATTGCCGGAAGAAATATCAACAACCTCCGATATGCAGATGATACCACTCTGATGGCAGAAAGTGAGGAGGAATTAAAGAACCTTGTAATGAGAGTGAAAGAGGAGAGTGCAAAAAATGGTCTGAAACTCAACATCAAAAAAACTAAGATCATGGCCACTGGTCCCATCACCTCCTGGGAAATAGAAGGGGAAGATATGGAGGCAGTGTCAAATTTTATCTTCCTGGGCTCCATGATTACTTCAGATGGAGACAGCAGCCCTGAAATTAAAAGGCGCCTTCTTCTTGGGAGGAAAGCGATGACAAATCTTGACAGCATCTTGAAAAGCAGAGACATCACCTTGCCAACAAAAGTCCGAATAGTCAAAGCTGTGGTTTTTCCTGTCATGATGTATGTAAGTGAGAGCTGGACCATAAAGAAAGCAGACCGCCGAAGAATTGATGCCTTTGAATTGTGGTGCTGGAGGAGGCTCTTGAGAATCGCCTGGACTGCAAGGAGAACAAACCTATCAATTCTAAAGGAAATCAACCCTGAGTGCTCACTGGAAGGACAGATCCTGAAGCTGAGGCTCCAGTACTTTGGCCATCTCATGAGAAGAAAAGAGTCCTTGGAAAAAACCTTGATGTTAGGAAGGTGTGATGGCAAGAGGAGAAGGGGACGACCGAGGATGAGATGGCTGGACAGTGTCTGCGAAGCAAACAACATGAACCTGACACAACTCCGGGAGGCAGTAGAAGACAGGAGGGCCTGGCGTGCTCTGGTGCATGGGGTCACAAAGAGTCGGACACGACTAAACGACTAAACACATGTAATATTGAAATGGTCTGTTGACTTATTCAGTAAAAATGTGTGATGATGATGGTGACTTTCATTGATGACCATTCAAGATACCGTGTGATTGACCTACTCAAAGAACATCTGAGACCTTTGATGCAATGAAGGCATATGTTTAGATGGTGAAGAACAAGTTCAATAGGAAGCCTCAGATTGTGAGAACAGACAATGGGGGTGAGTATTGTTGTTGTTTAGTTGTTTAGTCGTTTAGTTGTGTCTGATACTTTGTGACACCATGGACCAGAGCACACCAGGCCCTCCTGTCTTCGGGGGGGGGGAGTATATCTCATAGCATATGAAGACTTACTTCAAAGAACAAGGAATTCATCATCAACACACAGTGGCGTAAACTCTTGGACAGAACAGTGTGGCAGAGAGAAAGAATTGGTCAATCATGGACATAGTCAGGTGCATGCTTATTGAAGGAAAACTACCTAATAAATACTGGGTAGATGCAGCATTGACAGTCGTCTACCTGCAGAACAGATTGCTGACTAAAGCAGTCAACAAAACATCATTTGAACTTTTGAATTGTCACGTTCCCACCTGCCCCTTGGTTGTTTCACCAAGCAAGAGCTCAAGCTATGTGCCGTTCTGCTGGCACCAGTTGATTACATCAACATTGTTTATTCACAGAGGTTCAGGCATTGTTTAATCACAGAGGTTCGGGGAATCTGTCATTTTCAAAAGAACCAAATAGAAATTGCTTCTTGTTACAGGTGATGAAGGCACAATCAATGCCATTAACTCTTAACAGAACACCCAACTTCATCCACTCACAACTGCCCACTCCCTCTCTCTCTCTCCTCCAAACTCCAAATACCAATCCTCTTTTCTAAATTCTCCAACTCCAATTCTCAGTAATCTCCCCCCCTCTTCCTGCCAAGACTCTTATATCTGGTGACTCCGCCTCTCCAGCACTCTCATTGGTATATGCAAACAATTTATTAATATTCATGACCTTGGTGGATGCCATAGCAGTGCAGTTATGGTGGACTACTAAATATCTCTGAGTGAATCTCTGAGCAATTATTCAGTAGAGCAGTACACTGATTGCAGCAAGAGAGATTTAACCACATTTTTACTTCACTGAAATTAATGGGAAGTCAAAGGGATTAATAAGATATGACACAATCCTATCTCTTGTGGAATACCTTCTTCACCCTATCAGGCTAATTCTGACGTCTCTTTTTGACACAATTCCAGTCGGGGTGTGTGGGTGATCATGGAACAAAGAAAGGCTAATTGCCTTAGAGAGAACAAACTGGTCGACAGCGGATGTCCGAGCCAGCAGAGCCTACAGGTAGCACCCTGAGAGCTCATTTATTTACGTTTTTTCCAATTTTTAAAATTTTTTTAACTTAAGGGATGACAGAAAGGAAAAAGGGAATTGGAATTGATGAGGAAGAGGGGAGGCAATAACATACTTTCATCCATTTTATACCTATTGCCATATCAAGATTTTAAGTTATTCTGTTTACTCTTTTCTGCCTTCTAGATTAAGTTCTCATTTCAGTATATGCTATTCACAAACTGCCTGTTGATTCAGTCCACTTGTTAAATAGATCCAATCTTTCTATTGCCTTTTGCAAGGGATAATCCTTCATGACTTCTGATAAAATGTCCATTTCGGCTATTTCCCGTATCTTTTCAATAAGATCTTGTTTCGGTACCATTGGTCTTTTCCAATTTTTAGCATATAGAATTCTGGCTGCCGTAACTATGTATATAACTATATATTCCTTTGACTTATCTATATTTTCAGGTATCATACTCAATAAAAACAATTCTGGGGTTAATGGCACCTTACAGAGCAATATTTGTTCCAACATAACATGTACTCTTTTCCAATATTGTTTCGTTACTCCACATGACCATCACATATGATAATAGCTTCCCACTTGTGTTTCACATTTCCAAAACTTATTTGGTACGTCTGTATACATCTTCGAATTTTTCTGGGGTCATGTGCCACCTATAAACATCTTATATATATATTCTCTTTAAAGTTCACCGATCTTGTAAGCTTTATGTTATTTTGCCATATTTTCAGCCATTGATCAATATCAATATTATGCCCTATATTTTGACTCCACTTCATCATACATTCCTTAACCATTAACTTATTTGGTACGTCTGTATACATCTTCGAATTTTTCTGGGGTCATGTGCCACCTATAAACATCTTATATATATATTCTCTTTAAAGTTCACCGATCTTGTAAGCTTTATGTTATTTTGCCATATTTTCAGCCATTGATCAATATCAATATTATGCCCTATATTTTGACTCCACTTCATCATACATTCCTTAACCATTTCATCTTGCATTTTAATTTCCAACATATAATTATACATTTTCTTAACAATTTGTTCTTTTGAACCTAACAAAAGTTTATCAAAAATCGTTTGCTCTGAGTAGAAGCCTTCTATTTTATCTTTTGTATATCTATTACGTAGCATGATTTGCATAGGCTGTTGTTAGAATTCAGATAGGAATAGTTACCTAATCATAACTAGGATTGGCTAAAATACCCCTTTGATCTTATGCTCTACCTCTAAGTGAAAGGGCAGAATAAGGGGTTATCCTGCCTGCTGGCTGCTGCCACTTCCTGCCAGGAGTGTATGTACGTCACTGGAACAGAATGCAGCTACAGCCTTTAAGCAGAAGTTTCCCACAGGGTTAGATCTCCCCCTCTAACGAGGTTAAGCTGATCCCATCCCATTGTTTAGTTACTCATTATTTGATAGGACATTTTTTTGAAAAATCTTTATACAGTACAGTAATTGTGCATTTATGTAGGTCTCCTTCTGTGTTGAAAAGTGAACATTTATATAGAATTATAAATAATGTTATAATTAAATAAACAAGTAAACTTACACACAAGGGCACTTCCTATTGCCATGACAACAAGGATGATGGTGAATACTATAGCCACATATATACCCATTGGACTTGCCCAAAAATCCTTTATTTTTTGAAACAGTGTTTTTTCTGGAAGGATAAAAGGAAAAGGGTGCTTTAGTGATTAGCAACAAACATACCATAATTGTTATAATCAGTTGTTCACAATTTGAGAAGGGGGAGGGGGCAACACAAAACCCACCTACCGTAAGTGTCCCCCTCCAGTATTTGAAGACCAAACACATACCCTGAGGGGAAACCTGATTCTTCTTTAAATTCAAAAGGAGAATCATGGATCAGGAACTTTTAAAAAATAGCAGTTTTCCTCTAAAGAGGGTCTGATGCCAGAACATTACACTAAGACTCCTATAGAACTTTAAAGCAGGGGTCTCCAAACTGTGGCCCGTGGGCCACCTCCAGCTGGCTTGCTATTTTATCTGGCCGATTCCCTTCAGCCCATGTGTGCATGTCTTTGTGGCCAGCAACTTCAGAGGACAGGAGCTAAAATTCTGTCTGTGTCCTGGTGTAGTGTGTGAGAGTGTTGAATATTTCTAGCTGTGGGATCAGGGTTTTTATTCCTTTTGGAGATTGGGTGTTTCCTGTGATCAAGGTGTGTTTTGTTATGGGTGGTTTGTTGTGATGAGGGGGGAGAAGATCTGTGAGTGTGACGGGTATTGTTGGGTAGTCTTTTGTGTGCAGTGATCACCGGTCCTTGTGGCTGGGTAGAGTTCATTGACCTTTTTTTCAGGCTGTATTTTTCAGTGCTGGGAGCCAGGCTTTGTTGAGTTTTAGACTTTCTTCTTTTTTGTTGATTTCAATTCTCTTTCATGGCTCAACTGTCAGCCATTAAAATAATTCCTTTTGCTAAGCAGTGTTTATTTACAGTAACCTTGTTTGTCTGGAGAGCTGTAATTGTCATGCAGTGACTTTAGCAAACTGTTCAAGCTTCATTTTTAAAAGAACTTTCATGTTTAGGGCTGCTTTTTCTTTACACACACTGTTGATTTTTGAATTTAGGCATTCTTCCGTCTTGAGAGACTATGGTGTGCTATGTATGGAGGACTTGGAACAGCATCTAGTGTGGCTGAGAAGGCCTATTTGAGAGTGACAATACCTTCCACACTGAAGACAAAGACTATCTGTCCCCTGTCTAGCTCCCTGATTTTGCTGGTTTCGGGACTGCCTCTTTGCCTCGGCCTGCTGGACAAGGGTCTCTTCAAAATGGGAAGAGGCCATGATGCACCACCTGCCTCCAGGCTGAACGCTCAAATGTCAGAGTTTCCCGTCTATTGAGGTCCATTCCTAAGATCTTCAGATCCCGCTTACAGATACCGTTCTATGGCAGCTGTGCTCTCCCTCTGGGGCACTTTCCCCACGCTAATTCTCCCTACAGGAGATCTTTTGGCATCTGACCATCAGCCATTCTCATGACATGCCTGAGCCAACTTAGACGTCGCTGTTTCCTGCCATGCACAAAGGGTCCAGGACTCACTGCAGTTCAGGAGTGTGCTCAGGACACAGGCTCTATAGACCTGGATCTTGGTCTATGCCACCAGCTTCTCATTAAGCCATACTTTCTTTGTGAGTCTAGAGAACATGGTTGCTGCTTTGCCGATATGACTATTTAAACATTTATACATTAAGAGCCTTGCTCAGCTTCTGGAAACTTAAGACTGTGGCATCCTTTATGGAGTCAGTCCATCTCATAGAGTTTTCCTCTTTTCCTGCTTCCTCCCACTTTCAAAGCAATATTTACAGCCAGTCTTGTTTTCTCTTTATATGCCCAAAAGTAGGATAGCTCTCATTCAAGCCAAAGCAAGTCTATGCTAAATGAGTTAAAGCATAGAGGAAAGAAGGGGATCAACATGAAAGAAATGGAGATGGATGAATATAGCAAGTACTAGCCATCCTTCCCCCCCACCCCACTGTGTTCTATTTTTCCCTAGTATTATCATCTTTTCCAGTGAGTTGAGTCTTTTTGTGGTATATTCATGGTACAAGAGCATCTATTCAGTCCCTTTAGCTTCCAGAAAGAGTTGAGGCTTGATTCAGTTTAGGTCTTGGCCTTGGTCACAACAGACACATCCTGGCACATATGTGTCTTTTCTGCTTCCTTCATAGATGGCCTTCCAATTCTCCGCTTTCTGACTTTTTTTTGTTGCAGTCCCAGTTTTGACTGGTGATTGAATCAAGGTGCAGAAAATATTTAACAAATTTGATTTCTCATTGTCAATGCTATGTTTCTACAATTCTTCTGTAGTCATTATTTTTTTTCTTAATGTTCCAATTGCAATCCAGCATCCCCCCTTCACCTTCATCAGAATTTTTTTGAAGTCAGTGCTACATTTTCAGGAATTAATTGTCACTTCACCCAGGAGAAAATTGATTGTTTTAGCAATAATGAAGGCAGAAAAACTCTTGAAAACCAGATATTTGGTAGGAACAGTAGTGTAACATGATACTGGCAGAGGATCTTTCACTCAAGCTAACTCTTGTTCACACTATGCAGAAGAAGGCTGTAGTAGACTATCTCTCAGTATTTCATACGTTCCTAAAAACTGTCCAAACAAAATAAGAGTGAGTGAGGCGCTTATTTAGCTTTGGTTGCCTCCCAAACCAGATGATGCTTGGCCATTATCTGTTCAGGGAATGCAATATATGTTTTCATTCAAAATCTGGCCCATGGTGGTTCCTGTGAAATCAAAATTGAGCTCCAGACCCACCAGCCTTGCCTGTCCAAACATGTCTTGTTTACACAAGCGAGCAAGTACTTCTTTATTCGGGAAGGCTTTTCAGCTAGTGACTTCCTGCTAAACACAGGGCTTCTAATGGGTGAGTGTTGTCAAGATTATGGCAGGTCAAAGGCCCACACAAACCACTCCGCCACACTATCCTGACTTTCCTGGTGCGGGTGACATCCAATGGCTGGGAAAAATCTTCTTGTTTGGTTTCTTTCTACCATTCTGAACCACGCTGACTCCCAAGTGCTTTAGGGAATGCTAAAACTCACAAGTTTGCACAGTCTTGCCAAGTAGAAAAACCGAAAATATTCGCAAATACAAAAGTATCCAGTAGATGCCCAAGGCAAGACCTGGAGTTACTGTGTCTCCCTGAAAATAAGGCAGGATCTTATATTAATTTTTCTCAAAAATCCTCATTAGGGTTTATTTTCGGGGAATGTTTTATTTTACAGTCATGTCATCTTCTGGTTGCTGCACAAGGGTGGAGGGTGGGGTTTAACTTAACTGGGGCTTATTTTGGGGGTAGGGCTTAAATTACGAGCATCCTGAAAAATCATACTAGGGTTTATTTTCAGGTTAGGTCTTATTTTTGGGGAAACGGGGTATCACCAGGAAAACCCCTCTCTTCACAATATATGCAGATTGCTGTGGAAATTTTACTCTTTTAATGAAGAGGTTGTAAAAAGTAAAAAAAGAAAATAAAGTTTAAAAGAGCTTCAAAACTTAGTACAAAAAGGTCAAAAGGAATTAATAAATTGCATACACAATACTTATTCCAAAACATTTGACACTAAGTCAATTCTAGAGGAGTTCTAATAGAAAAGAAGAAGACCAGCTATTCTGTATTAATATTTACAATCTAACAAAAATGTGGCATCATTCCAGAGTGGATGCAAAGTACCGACTGAGTAGCAAGACAGCAATTGAGCATAACTGTCTCCTCAGAGAAGCTAAGCCAAACTAACTAAATTATCCATGCCATTTTTATATCCAACACTCACCTTTCCCGACCTTTTGAGGGAATTCCACTATCTGATTCTCAGTCAGCCTGACCCTTCCAGAAGGGAGTAACTTTTTCCCAATGTAACTTCAGTCACCCTGCTACTACCCCCACTTTTTTGGTTAAGCTGAAGCCAGTGGAGACACTGCTCCCCATCTATTAACACCCAGCTGTTTCCCCAATTAACGGGCAGCTCTTGTCCCTCTTTTCCACTTTTCTCTGGCACAAGTCATCAGGATTTGATAGGGCAACTGAACCTTGTTCACCCCTCTTTTGCCACTCTCTTGACAGGTGTACTTTTTAGTGATTGTTAAGTTTAATTGACATGCTATTACAATTTACAGGCTGAAATCCTGTTGCTTTAATTTATGCTACGCAACGCCGGTGACATCATCAGCCATGGCAAATTTTTGGAAATATTCCTCCTGAAAGTCCCGAGCTACCCTTGGGATCACTGTTATGGGAAACTACTGTGGGTTGAGGGATTGAAGGAAACCTTTAATTTCTCAAAGTTGATACTGATGGGATAAGTCTACTGCCAGTAGTAATTTTTGGATATTAAATGATTTCCCTCCCTTCTTCCTCATCTTGCGGCCCCCAATGACCTCCCCATGATGACAGGGATCCCCTGGAAGACTCAGGGCCTTCACGGGGCAGCAAGGGGACAGAAATGGGGATTTCTGAAAAATTGTTGTGGCTGATGCCATCATCGGCCTTATGCAGCATGAGCTAAAGCAGTGGTTCTTAACCTGGACAATATCGACCCCCAGGGGGCAATTTTGTTTTTCAGGGGCGATGGAATAAAAAGGGGTTACGTGGGGGCAAAGGAACAGAAGGGGGCAGTAGGGAGTAGATGGAGTGAGCCGCCACCACCGATGGCTGACGAGCTGCCACTTTCGTTGGTTGGTTCTTTCATTCTTTCCTCTTTGGCGTTCAATGGGCACTGAGGCTGGCTTCGCCGGATGTGTGCATCTGTGCGCTCCCAGTCCCTTTCTCACTGTCTCCCTCCAGCTCCCACTGCTGCCCCGCTGCCACCCCCTTCCCGCTACTTCCCTACACTCCCTTTGTATGAGGACTGAGTGGCACCTGGGTGTCCCTTCCTTTATTTCTATCTGAAAAAATTTTAAACTGCATCCCAGCGTCTGGAACTCCCTGCCACTGGAGACCAGGCTGGCCCCATTCATTGCTATCCTTCCGTGACCAGGCAAAGACCTTTTTCTTCAGGCAAGTGTTCCCTCAGTAAACCAGCTACCCATGTGTGATTTCTAGATAGTTTGCTATTCATTACTATTTTGATTGATTTTTTAGTATTGCCGCGCTGCCGTCCCTTCCACCGCCGCAGCGCCACTGCCAGGAGGGGGGCGATGATAACTTGTTAAAGCACTGAGCTAAAGCAACAGGATTTCAGTCTCTGTGTTTGTTCAAGAGGCAAGATGAGGCAGCAGGTAGTGTTGGACTAGGACCCGAGAGACCTGGGTTCCGTTTCCTGGTTGGCCATGGAAACTCGCTGGGATGAGGGCAGCAGCAGTAATGACTTGGGAAGTTACTTTAAGAAATAATTGCAATGACAGGCTGTAGCAGCTGATGGGAGACTTCAGCTTTAGAACTTAGCTATTCTGATGAGCTTATTGAATCCCCTGAGCTTGGCAAGCTTGGCATGCTTTTCTGTTCAACCTTCACTTCTTGTCCATTTGTCTTTTCCGCCCCTGTGAACTCTGTGTGTGTGTGTGTGTGTGTGTGTGTCTGTGTCTGGGTGTCTGGTCTGTGTGTTGTCTGTGCATGTTTGTGTGTATGTGTGCATGTGTACGTATACCACTTCCATACTTTCTCCTTTGTCATCTGCAGGCTTGGCATCATCAGACTTCCCCTTGGCATCTTTGTTCTTGTCTGCTGCAGATACAAAAGAATAGGTTTCCTATAAGCATTAAAATCATTATAAAGTAATATTCAGTAAGGCTGCCCTTAAAATCCCCTAGAAGAGGGTACAGTGGGCCATTTGGGGCCAATTCCATCTCCCAGACCTGCCTGGCAAGAGGCTTCTTTCAAAGTCAGAAGGTGACCAGAACACCACGTCTCTCTCGGGCTCTTGGGATGGGATGGGTACAGTGCCTAGAAGTTGCCCACCCTGACCGAGAGTTTGTCTCCACCACTCTGCCAGCCTCGTGACTCCGTTTTATATACCAGGTTTGCGTAAACTGTGGGAGGAAGCCTAACTGGGCTGCACATCCCAGGACTGACATATAAGAAGCCCCACCCAAGGCTGGCTTCCACATTTGGGTACCCCACAGACAACCGGGAAAGGCACTATGCTGACCAGGGCCTTTGATTTTTTTATGAGCTGATGAGCATTTTTTGCTTCAGAATTTGCTTCAGAACTGTATGCTTAGGCAATCCACAGAGCCGGTTCCTTTGGCTCCAGGAACTATACCATCCCTCAGTCCTCACGACTCATTCTGAAACAGTGGAAGAATGGGATCCCTATCAAGAACGGTTGAGGAGGAAGAGAGGAAAAGAGAGACAGAGAGAGTGACAAGGTTAAGTACTCTCATCCCCAGAAGCAACCCATGCAAGCAAGCTTTTTGACTACCATTCCTCTCTCCTCTTCTTCTAGGGACAAATGATGCTATCAGACACAGGCAGAACCATGCTGTTCTGCGCAAGAATGGAAAAAACTTGGGGCATGGTTGATTTTTCCATTCCTCCTTCCTGTTTTTCTTGAGGTGACAAAAATACTGATTGAGCTGATGGTGTTGTAGGGGAGAGTTTAGCATCTTAGCCCAAGGCCTATGCTGTCAGGATGTGTGTGAAATAAATCACTTTTAAGTAGTTAGCAGAGTTCCGGAAAGAAAATTTACACTTTCTCTTCTCTGGATGGCAGTGAAAATGATAAGACAGAGCGGAAAACTTTTGCTCTGAAAGATTGCAGCAATATAACTCACGGACAAACTGTTGTTTTTCTCAGCGAAGGCTTTTATCTTGTAGTTTCAGGAAAATATTTACAGCAGCTATTTACAGCACTCCAGACAGCAAACCGACAGCATCCACACAGAAACTCCACCCACAGAAGCATGGTACCAATTTGGTTACTTTTATATCCATCGTGCTGATGCAATCTTGCTACCTGGATTGCATCAGATGTACAGTGACTCATCAGAGTTCCGCTGCACATGTCCATCATGTCATAACATTTCTTAAAGAGACAATATTCCCCAGTATTCAGACCAATACTCTGACACATGCTTCTGTGAAACAGAATAATGCAATTGGAAGCAGTCTGTAAGGCCCTCGAGGCCAACCCCCTGCTCAAGGTAAGCATTCAAGCCAAATGAGATCTGATAGATGACTGTCTCACTTTCTCTTGAATACTTCCAGCGATGGAGCACTCACCACCTGCTTCCAAGGGACTCCTGGCAATTAATGGGTTGCACCTTGGGGAAGGATATTCTTGCTGGAAGATGTCTGAAAGAAGATTGGACACCCCTGATTTAGACCAATAATCTGACACATGCTTCTGTGAAACAGAATAATGCAATTGGAAGCAGTCTGTAAGGCCCTCGAGGCCAACCCCCTGCTCAAGGTAAGCATTCAAGCCAAATGAGATCTGATAGATGACTGTCTCACTTTCTCTTGAATACTTCCAGCGATGGAGCACTCACCACCTGCTTCCAAGGGACTCCTGGCAATTAATGGGTTGCACCTTGGGGAAGGATATTCTTGCTGGAAGTTGTGTAAAGCAGTGGTGTAAAGGGCTTTAAACTAAATTCTAACAGGGAGTTGGCTGGTTTTCCAGAAGACAGGGAGACAAGCAATCTGGATGAGAGAGTCAGTGGTGAATTGACAACTGGTACAAAAGTCTGCCAGTGGAGGGGAAGGGACCACAAGGAAGCAACTTAAGGGAAACACTCATGGTTTCAGACATCTCTATACCAATGCACTGAGCATGGGAAACAAATGATGTGAGCTCAAATACTTAGAAGAGGAAGGCAGATATAAGGGGGTCGGTCAGACACATATCTGAAATGCAGTGGGCAAAATGATTTCAGCACAGAGCAAAGGAGAGAGGAATTACAGTGATGTCACTGTAAAGGGTCTACTGCAGTTCTCCTAATCAGACTGAAGGTTTAGTTGATGCTTTCCTAGATCAACTACCAAATTTATGAAGAGGAAAGGAGGCATCAACTACTGTGGTATCTGGTGGAAATCCAACTCTGCCAAATTCTTCTATATTTTAATATGAATTTTCTTGCATCAAACAGTGTCTAAGGAAGTGGACTTCATCCACTTGACATTGTTTCATTTTTCAGGTGCCTTTTTTTTTGTCTGATGGAATTGCAAAAATAAGTTTTTGCCTAACACGAAGAAGAATTTCTTGATCATAAGAGCTGTTTGACAAAGGAAGGTGGACTCTTTTCCTCTGGAGGTCTTTTCCACAGAGTTTAGGTGGCCATTTGCCAAGAATGATGTCTCAGTAGACTGCCCACTTGGGCAGGGGTTGGGCCCAATGACCTTTGGCATCCCAAATACAGTAGCTCTATAATTCTATGATTCTATATCTGGATGAGAGAGTCAGTGGTGAATCAACAACTGGTACCAAAGTCTGCCAGTGGAGGGGAAGGGACCACAAGGAAGCAACTTAAGGGAAACACTCATGGTTTCAGACATCTCTATACCAATGCACTGAGCATGGGAAACAAACGATGTGAGTTCAAATGCTTAGCAGAGGAAGGCAGATATAATTTAATAGGCCTTCTTAAAACCAGGTGGGGTCAGACATATGTCTGAAATGCAGTGGGCAAAATGATTTTGCAGTGGGCAAAAACTGGAAAGAAGTGGAGGGATGCAGGATTCACTCTTTCTTCTTTTCCTCTCTCTCATCTTTCCAGAGCTGAAAGATGCCAGAAGGGAGGTCTGGAGAGCTTCTGTAAGAAGAGAATAAGAGTGGAAGAAACTTACCTGCTGGGGCTTTTTTGGGTGCCATTTTATCTTCTCGGTGTCAGCAGCCTTTTCTTCCACATTTCTGTTTGTGAAGCTGAAGAATGGAGGAGATGGTTCAATTGCTACCCTGAGACTAAGGCAGCACAAAACAAAGGTAACGTTTTCTATGGCAAAGTTTGGAGGAGTGGGTGACTGACGAAGGCGATTTCAGACTGGGCAAAACTGAAGGAAAGCTCCCTGACTTCAGATACAGTATTGCTTGCCAACCATTGCAGTCCACCCTGTTTCAGGTGCCCCAATGGTGTTTGTTCCTAGTTTTATTCTGTAGGTGCATCTGGGTGGGAGAGACCAGAGAAGTGAGAGGAGATGACCGATCTGTGTGTGGAGTGAGCCACCTCCCAAAGAATGGCAGAGGCCTGAGCCCTTCCTGGACCTTTGGCTACCTGAAGTGACTGAAAAGCCTCAGCAGTGCCACCCAAGGGCCTCGTCTCCCTCTGCTTTGTGCTTCGATCGCCAGGCTCCCTGTCTCATCCCTCCACCTCCATCTGATACCCCTCCCTGTACAGCCTGGTTGATGGGCACTAAGTGTGTGTGTGTGGTGGTGGGCAGCTGAGCAAGATGAGAGCAGTTCCCATATAGCTTAGCTAGAGCAGCCATGAGCTGCCCAGCAGGGCAGGGAGTCTGTGTTTTACTTGACATCCTAAGGGAATTGTGTCACCTGAGACATTACTGTGTTTGGTGATGAAAGACAGTCCTGATTCTGACTCAGGTTGAACAGCGGTATTAGGGACAGCCCGTGACTGGAAGCGAGATGTTCGCAACCATTGTGTGCATTGGATCAGCCTAAGAGGAGCTTATTTTCCCTATCATATAAAATAGCTTGACCGGATTAGTGGTTGGTCGTCAACATTGAAGGATGCCATTCCTTGATATCTGCGTCCTCCTTGCCAACCTGAACATGCTTTCAGCTCTAATGAGGAGCTACCACTAACATGTGTTTCCATCCTCTGTGTAAAGCAGGCAGGTGGGCACATGGGAATATCATTTCCCCACTCGCTACTGACCGTGTGTGTTTTTTTGGATTCTCGCCCTTCAGCCAGTCAGTATCTCTTCTCCATTCCTCTTTGTCTCCCTGCAGCGGCACCTTCTTTCAGATGTTTCAACCCCCGTCATTTATGATGTAAAACCCTCCAGAGTTCTTCCTGTTTAGATGCTGCTGCTCTCTGATTGGTCTCTTCGTCTGCTTGGAATATAGCTGTCTTGCAATAGAGTTGGGGAAATCTTTTGCTCCCACAGTGTACTTTGTGAAATAAAATTCTCCAGCATCCTTAATGAAAAAAATTGAGAAGTAAAGATACTCCATTTTAAATTGGATGACGTAAAGCCTTTCTGACATGTAACTGTTTAAGAGCCGGTAGTTGCTAGAAAAGCAGTCTAAATTGAGCAGTACAGACAAGTCACTGTGGACAGGGATTCAAAGCCAGACTTTTGTTATTGTTGTTATGTGCTGTCAAGGCGGTTCTGACTTCTGGTGTTTCAATAAGTGAGCAATATTCAAAATGTCATGTCAACAACCCTGCTCAGCTTATTGGAAGCTCAGGCCAGTGGTTCCTTTATGGCAGTGGTTCCCAACCTTTTTAGCCCCATGGACTGGCTGGGGAAGGCGTGCTTGTGTGCACGCTTGTGTGCATGCGTGAAGGGCAACGCAGCACTTTTGTGGATATGTGCATCCTCGTGGGCGTGCACGTGCTTGTGCGCATGCACAACGGGTGGCACAGCGCTTGTGCAGGTGTGCACTCACGTGCAGGTGCAAATGATCTGTGCAGAGGGGAGTGCATGAGGGGGGTGGGGAAGTCGCTCTCCATGGTCTGGTCCAGCTCAGGCCATGGACCAGGGGTTGGGTTCCTCTGCTATCCGTCCACCTAAGTTTTCGTCTTCCTCTTTTCCAGGTGCCCCAACCTTTCTCAGCATGATTTTCTTTTCCAGAGCATCCTGCCTTCTCATTATGTGCCCAAATTGGGGCTCAAGAACACCTGGAGGGCCACAGTGACACCCTATCATCCAGGCTACACAGGAAGGAAAAATCTCTTCAGTTCTGGAGTCTTTCAGTGTGAATTTGCCACGTTCGCTGTCCGTGACATTGAGTTTCATTGGCATCACAATCTTAAAGTAACTCACCTATTTCCTCTTCCAGTTCATTAAGCATTAAGGCCAACACAGCTAATTCAGTTGCAACCCTGTCAGCATCAAAAATTGTTTCAACTTCTAAAATAAATAGCAATAGTTCAAGTCAAGGGAATTTCTCTTGAGCAGTTGTCTTGAAAGCCATTTTCTACCATTACTGGGATGTTTTGCACAGAACATTGCGCACAATATAAGTTTGGATGAGTGGCAACAAATATGGAAAAACAATATAAAACTTACTAAGTCAGTAGCATTTGAAGAATACACACACACACACACACACAGAGACAGAGGTTCCTCGCTTAACGGGCGCCCCATTTAACAACGAATCTGGATAGCGACGATTTTTTTGCGATCGCATTGCGATGTTTTAAATGGTAAAAAATCGCTTTGCGATGATCGGTACACTATTTCGCATACCGCTTTTTGCATAGCAATGTTTTTAGAACAGCTGATCGGCAGTGTCATGGTTTAGGTTATTGAAGCTAAAATGTAATTTCTAAATGGGATTTGTAGTCATGGAATGGTGTAGAATAAATTCATCTTAGTCTGTGTCATTTTACTAGAAGCATTGAGAAATTGTTTTCCCTTACAGCTAGCTAGGAATGTTATCATGTAGATCAGTGGCCCCCAACCTTGGGCCTCCAGATGTTCTTTGACTACAACTCCCAGAAGCCTTCACCACCACCTCTGCTGGCCAGGATTTCTGGGAGTTGAAGTCCAAGGTTGGGGACCACTGATGTAGATAGCTTGGCCAAGGCCGAAGACGAAGAGCCGAGTCATAACATCAAGGAAAATGTCAACAACACCTGCGATTCTCATGAGAAAATGAGGTGGAGAGAGATAAGCAATCCTTCATCCTGACTGGCTTACGCCAGTGGAGAGTGCAGAAGGAGGTTTTTCCAGCTTGTGAAGAAAATGACAGGATGTTACAGGGAGAGAGACTCTTTCTTAACTCATTTTTGGATTAATGGATTTTACCATGGATTTTTGATTTTTGAATGGACTTTGGAGTTCCTAATGCTAAGATGTAGTTCATAGTAGGAGAATAGAAAGGGGGGCTTAGTCTTACCTGCCTTTCTAGTTAGTAGGATTTTCTTATTTTATTTTTGTAGCTGGAATTTGCTAGATTTCTAACTACTTTAGTTATGGAAATGTTTTTGAATGCTATGCTTTGCAACAAACTGAATTTATCTAAGTCTTTATTTTTCTAATAAAACAATAATACTTAAAAGTTATCCTTGGTCTCTTGAACAGGTAACCTGCTACCATACTTATTTTGTTTTCTTTAAGGCCACAAATTAAGCTACTTTGAGTCCAGTATTTTCCTGAGTTTTGGGAGTTCTGGATGACTCTAAGACTCATGGTTTTAACTTAGTTTCTCAGTGATTTTTAAGTGGGAATAGACTTGGAGAAGAGTGCCAGTTAGACAGCCTGCTTGAGACAAGGACTCATCTCAACTTAAACAGGGGTCAACTGGACTTGGAACCTCTCTATTCCAGCTTTCAGCATTCTCTTTGTAGAGATGTTTGCTTACAAGGTCACAGTGTGGGACTGATCCATGAGCTGAATTTTGTTAAGTATTTACATGGTAGCAAAGTGGCTATTTTGCTTGAAGCTCTGATCACTAGAGGTGACAGAGTGGAAGTATTGTTCTCTGTGCAGATCTAAAGTGGAGGCCATCCGCCGGGAGCTCTCTCCGTTTTTAAAAACAGTGAGTCGAGCAGAGATGTCCGGCACTCCGTCTTACCCAGTGACTTTTGATTCTTTTCAGCCTGTAACGCCTGATTCCGTCTCCAGGGTGCTTGACCGCTGCCGAGCCACCACCTCCTCCTTGGACCCTTGCCTGGCCTGGTTAATCAAAGCAGCCAGGCCGATAACAACGGAATGGGCCACAGTAATAATAAATGAATCTTTCCTTGAGGGTAGATTTCCATCCGCCCTCAAGGAGACACTCATTAGGCCCATAAGAAAGAAACCTAGTTTGGCGGCGGACGAAATTGGCAATTATAGGCCCGTCGCCAATGTTTCTTTCATGAGCAAAGTGGTTGAGAGGGTGGTGGCCGATCAGCTCCAGGCTCACCTGGA